GAAGATGGAACTATTACCCGCGTCCTCGCGCTCGCCTTCACTTTCACCTATTATCCATCCAAATGTGTATATTTCAATCTGAACTAGTTCAAATCAAAATATTTTAATCTGTCCTGGTTCAGATCAAAATATTTGAAACTGTTCTAGTTCAGTTTAAAATATTTTGATTTTTCCTAGTTCAGATCAAAATTTTAAAGTCAACTAGTTGAGATTAAAATGCATTTCGAAGTCAACTAGTTCACTTTAAAATTTTAATATGAACTAGGAAAAATTAAAATTTTAATCTGTCCTAGTTCGATTTAAAACTGTACTGGATTTTAATCTATCCTACGACATATATATATATATATATATAGAATTAATACCATGGTTAACCATTGATTGGTTGTAATAACTTGATTCTTTTCATCAACATCAATCAGTTGAGCAAGTGATAAATCAAAAGAAATATTTGTCACATCAGTATGAATACGTGCAGGTCGTATTGTTTTATCATAAATAACTGGATCTAATATAAGACGAGTTAAATTCATTTCAACATCACACATACGTATTTCTATTGGTTATTTGATTTTTAAAGGAAAATCAAAATATTTAAAATAATAAAAAAAACAATCTTAGTTTATACCTGATATATAACAAGAAATTAATAGAAATATTAATTCTATATGGAGATAGGACGTGGTGTATGCATACATGTTTTTAGTACAAAATGGCATCGAACGTAAAAGGCCGACTTAGATGAGATGGAGCCGATTAATTGAGTTATTGTTTGTCGCAGGCGTCGTTACATTTTCTTTTATTGCAATCTATGATGAAGCGAACAAATTTTCTGTTTTTTATATTAGGCCAAAAAGGGCAGTAAAACTCACGAGGGAACGTTGTGAGCTGTTCAATCGCTTTTCTATAGAAATGATTAATTTAGAGGTTATCGACTATATTGATTCCGAATATGACTATCGTTTTTGCCCCATAGACCTTTCTAGGGCGGTTTTCCAAGCTGAAAATCCTATTCGTTGAATTTTGTTTTGTTGGATTAGTTCATATTGTAAAGCACACAGAATTACATATAGAACAAGTGTTTTTTTTTGCTTATTTGAAGCAGATCTTGAAAGTCATAAAGCATTTAAAATTCAGTTCAGAATTGGATATGATACGTTAGATCATAAAGAATAACTTTCAAGTGGAAATGTTAACTTGAAGATTTAAGTAAACAGAACTTTTTAACGTTGCTGATAACAGCAGATAGAATTCAAATCATTTTTACCGAATATCATTTTCATGACTAGATGTGGGCACGATGTAAGTATTTGAAAGTCATTTTCTTTGTAGATATTACACATTGAACTATGATAACGGTTAGTTTTACTTTATAGTTTAATAAGATTAATTTCACCAAAGGTACCGATGAACAAATTTTCTTAATTTAAGTATATTTATTCTTAAAGGTTCAAATTTATTGTCATTTTTGTTCTTATTCGAATTTTGAATCTATTTTACTTGTACGAAGCTAATATTTTTGAAATAAGAACAAAAACACAAATCGTATCTGCTCGTGCTCTAATTATCGTTATCCACCTCTTGTCAGAGTCGGGAGTCGACATGGCATTGATTATTGCACGAGAGATGTTTTCATTTTATTTTTGAAGCTATCTTACTGAAAATTAGACCCATTTACAGCTATAGTTCTATCTGAAACTTTGAAACCTTTTCTAATTCGTAATTGATTGGTACTGTGCCATCCAATTGAAAATGCTTTATGACTTTCAAGATCTGCTTCAAATATACAAGAAAAAAAACACTTGTTCTATAGGTAATTCTGTGTGCTTTACAATATGAAGTAATCCAACAAAACAAAATTCAACGAATAAGGTTTTGAGCCTGGAAAACTGGTTTCCCAGAAAACCACCCTAGAAAAGCCTATGGACAAAAATGATAGTCATATTCGGAATCAGCATAGTCGATAACCTCTAAATCAATCATTTCTATAGAAAAAGCGATTGGACAGTTCACAACATTTCCACGCCAGTAGTTTACATTAGTCTCGTGTTTTTGCTAGATATAAGTCTTTATGCGTACATCTAGAGAGAAAAAATCAGAGACATAAAAGTACTGATTTTTACGAAATAAATAGATTTTTTTTCTATAGGAATTTCAGGTAATAAATAAAGCACATAAATACTATTTACATTTAAAAAAAAAAAAAGAAACAAAAAATGATCAACTGATTGTTTATCTTTTATTGCGAATCAAGTCGACAAGGGAAGAAACACTATTATTAACTATGAGTACGTGTTCGAAATGAGAAAATGATGTAGCTACTTCATCTGACAAAGACGAGCGAAAGAAAAAGAATCAAAGAACGCATCAAATATATTGATATAATAAGTGGATGGAAGAACAGATCTTATGAAGATGATGATGAGAAATATATATATACTTCGTTCTCTATGGATCGTCTTTGCGTTCAGAAAAGCATCCACGCAGAGGTGTGTGTTGTGACATGTTCAAGTGCCATAATTTCCTTTTTGCTTATTTTCGTTTTCTCGCTAGATTTTCAATCAATGAGAATCAATATTATATGATGTCAAATGTGACAACTGTGTCTTTCATGACTTTTAAGTATCCATACTTTTATGACCGAATGTAGTATGCTATTAAGTAGTCATGAGCTTCAAGCTATAGTAGAAAGTAGTTCAGCTAAATTGCAAGAAGAGCGAATAATTCTATCGAAAGCTTTAAATGGAATGAAACAGATAAAGAATAAACTTCTGAAGCTTTTTACGACTTATCGAGGGTACTCTGAAATAGAATATCAGTACAAAAAGAAATTCTAATTAAACTAATCCAATTCGAAGGTCGATTTCTGTGAGATGTTCAGTATCGAATGTCAAAATGTAGATTTAATGGTCTTGGTATCAATGAGTATGAATAATTCTTAGACAAAAACACTGAATTTTAGTGAAGATATAGAAATTTCTGGTATTAACACAATAGTTTTTATTTCTGAAGAAAATCTCTCAAAGTCTATCTATAGGAAAAGTATTAATCTGTTGTAGAACTTCATGATTGTATCAGTACTATTGCTCTCAAAAATAAAAAAAATATAACTATGCACTATTGAAAATAATCTCTATCGAATCCGTTAGTAAAAGAAATTTGCGTTTCTGTGTTAATCGATTAGAAAACTCAAAGAATTACTATTGTTAGCACTTTTCGACCCTTCACTAATTAGACGTGTTTTCATGTTAATAATCATCTTACCAGATGATTTTTCTAAAAAAAAGGATATTCTTCATTACAATCACTTTTTATTTCGTAGGAAAAAGTAATTTTTTCTAAGACAAAAAGCCTTCCTAATATCCAAATGAAATTTCAATCGATATGTTGAACGGTTCAACATCTATCTTTGAAACATTCATTATGGTTTCAAATAGACGTATGTATTAATTCGAAAGAATATACTGACTCATAGAGGATAATCATGGTACTATTAAATCAACTAAATTTTTACAGTTTCCAGCTGAATGAGAACCATCAACACTGTTTAACTCGAGAAATAGATAGGAAGTATATGATTTGCTTTATAATATAGTTTATAGATAATTTCGATGCTAGAAAAGATTTCCCTATCGTTCGAGATGTTTCACGAGATTAATATTCCGTGCTATTCATAGCAAGCGCTATCTGTTTATCATATTTGCAAAATATGGACTTAAATGTCAACTTTTGATCAATCGCTTTAATGAAAACTTTTCTATTACTTGAATGATTCTTTTACAATTAATAATATGATCTTACACTCAACGAGTCATTTTTATGGCTCATTTACACGCTTAATAGATATCTTTCGAAAACTTGAATATGAAATTAAACTACATTATGCTTACCGATTATGTAATTCACATAAACATAAATAGAAACATATAATAAATTGTTTCTTTAAATATTTATTCGATTTGATCGAATTTTAAATTGAACCATCTTGAAATTGTCGAATCGCTAGAGGTTGTGGACTGTGGAGTGTGTCTGTGCAGGTAGACTCGCGTGTCCGACTTTCCCCACATCCACACCCACACCCTCACGAGTACAGTATCGACGGTTACAAACAGCAAATATATGCATACACGATTTTTTTAGAATACGAAGCTAGAAAAGCACAATAAAGAAACGCACTAACATCATGCAGCTAGCATATGAAGAAAAGGTACACTTTCACATTGACAACAAACCGTAACTGAGCAAATATATCCCGTATCGAATGGAAGATAAATTGCAGAAACATTATCACTCGACTTTCATGCCCACATTCGGATTTTCACCAAACATAAAATACGTATCCTAATACGCCATTAAAAAATTCACTAACACTTCAGCTAATTAATAGATTTTATAATTTGTAAAAATTAAATCTAAATCTATTCCTGAATTCAAAATGCACTGCCAGTTATATGATCTTTTGCTTTTGCTTTGGGATGGTTTTTAAATGGTCGCGGTTTCGTTTCATTTATTTTCGGATTCTGAATAGTTATTCAGATGTCGATGTATATTCGAAGTCGAACTAGGCATCTCATATATGCATCTGTAAGAACAAGGAACTACAGTGGATCATAAGATAAACTATCTAGTGAATCAATAACAAAACGCTGTTACGAAGTTGTTTTACGAACACTCATAATTACAAATTTTACAGAGGTCGCTAGTGGCAATGAAAAAGAAAAATACTTTTGTTGATTCACACGTTTTTCTTCTTCATCTATTGTCATGACGATGTTAAACAATAATGGCAGAAATATTGTGTTGTCTTCTGTACGAGAGCTACTACACAAACAAGACATTGCTTCTTTTATTCGAAGAAATAAGATATGTATAAACTCGATTTACCCATCGATATTAAAGAAAAAGCAGCTATTGAACGACGTCGTCGTGCTGAAAAAGAACGTCAAGGACGAATATTCAATGCTAAACAACGGCAAATCGGGGTTTTTAATAATAGTTTTATTTTTTTATTTGAATCTTCATTGTCTTACTATCTAACTAGGTTGATAAAGAAGCATTGGGTCAACAAATTCAAGATCGTGATTGGATGAAAGACTTAGAAGAAAAACGAGCAGCTGCATTTGGTAAGTTGCATTTTTTCCCTCTCGTTCAATAGAAGAAAAACTAATAATATAAATCTACCATAGCTAAAGATTCTATTCGGAACGATACAATTGCTCAATTACTTGAACGTCGTCAACAATTCGATGAAAGAGAAAACATCCGTGCTTTAAATGAATTTCGTGCTTTACATCAGCAACCAGATGCACAACGTAAAAGAGAGAAAGACTTGAATAAAATTATAAATAATTTCTTTTACATTAATAGGCGAATGGGATTTGAATGATCCAGATTATTTGAAAAAAGACATGCCAGCACGTGTATCTGATGATGATCCACGCTGCGGCTTAGCTAGTTTACAGAAGTTTCAAGGTGAAGATCTGAATGCACGTGCTCGAGCTAAATTTCAGCAAGAACAATTACGTGAATGGTCCCTAATGCAACAAGAAAATCAAAGACGTGCACAACAGCAACAACAATCAGCTGATCAATTATTTTTTGCTAAACAAATCGAATTAGACCAACGAGCTGTTGAACTCCAACAAGCTGAAGAACAATGTAGACGAGATATTAATAAATCCACGCGAAACTACAACGATGCACTAGTAAGCTATACACACTTACATAAATTTTTCGCATTGATCAAGATTAAAGAACGATCGATTGTACTATCAAAAGGTCAATTATGCTAGAGTCAGATATGAATAATGCAACAACGGCTGTGCATAACTAAACAGTTTCTATAGAAATTAAATAAAACTAGCCCATTTTTTCAGGTTCAAGCAAAATAGTCCACTCTGCAAATCTATCTTGAATTCAGTAGGCCTTCATTTTTCAGGAGAAAATCTCGTTAAGTCCGAACTATTAAGAAAAAACATGTTTTTAATCGTGATGAGGAGAAAGAAAAAAAACGTAGATGCTTCTGAATACTTTTACGTTGATGTAAGAGATTAATTGAATATTTTTGCATTCAAATAATAGAACAAAAATATTTCTGCAACGGGAAAACGCCTATTGAATTAGTTAAATATAGGGATATAGATCTGGGAATTTTCTCTTATTCGAGATTATTCTTTTAAAAACAATTTTATTCAAAATTTACATTATATATTCTTTAAACAATGATGAAATAATCTTTGAAAGGTTTCGAACTGATATTCCTATTGAATTACTATGATCGAATACCTATTTTAAGATTATTCGTATAAAATAACACGAAAACAGTAGTATCGAACTGAATCTATAAACTTAGTTCAACAACATGCTAAACTAACATTTTCTAACGTCAAATTTAACTGATAATATTCAATGTTTCCCGACGTTTGATTGCATTATTCAGATGAACTCTAAATACTTACACAAGACAGCACTACGAACTTGTTCTGATTGTTGAGATCATACTTGTTTTTTCCTCGATTGTATATTTCATAGAAAATCGATTATCTGAAATTCCGAGAAATACAAAAAAAAATAACGATTTTCATTTTAAATCTAATAAGAAATTTAGTTTTGCCAAAGCAAAATAGAATCGAGTTCAATTATAGATGGATTAGCAAATAATAAAAATTGATAAGCAATTGATAGAATATTAAAACAATATATCCCTAACGCTCGAAAATTAAGACGTAAAGACTTACCATTCTATTAGAGTATGATGAAAACCACGAAGTCTGTAAGCATCTTTCTCTTTCTCGAATTTAACTGACAATGCATTGATTTCATTTCAAATAACATGTATCAGTGCCAACAGATCATAATGTGTAATTATAGGAAGCAAGAAGGAAAGGCCTAATGATAAGTTAGCTCTATGATTATTATGTTTAAAATAAAACTTCGACCTCGATTCTTTTCTTTTTCTCTACTGACAACGTCAGCTAGATAGAATTGATTTCAACATAAAACTATTGTATTCTACTATCGACTACGTAGGCAAAAATTGTTAATTTTAATGCTTTTATTTCTGTCAAAGAAAATTAAAGAAATTTTCTTCTACTTGTCAATTAGTTTCGAGAGAACCAAGAACGACGAGCATTAAAAAAACGTCAAGAAGATTATGATAATTTTGCTGAAATGGCCAATGTGGTATCAAGTGATTTATTATCGGAGAATCCTGATCAAGCTATAAGTCAATTTGGTCCTCATCGTGTTGTTCCCGACCGATGGAAAGGTATGACTGCCGAACAATTACGTCGTATTCGTGAAGAACAACAAAACCAACTTGAAGAAAAAAAAGTAAAATATCTTGGCTTCTGTATTAAAATTTTCTCATCATACAATTAATAACTATTCCTCTTTTGTATAGCGTCGTGATGAAGAAGAGCAACAACGTCAAAAAGAATGGGATCAACGACGTATTGCCGAAGCAAAAGCTGGAATGATTGCTGAAAGACAAATTGAACGTGAACGACGTGCGCAAGAACTTAATCTATATAATGATAATCAGCGTTTATCAAATGAACAGCGAAATCTTAAAGCATACCTTGATCGAGTTGTTTATACAAATCAACCAACAGCTGCTTACTTTACTCAATTTAACTCGTCATCGAGATAAATCTTTCGTTTTTTTATTTTATTTTATCCGATTTATATAAGCTGAATTATCGAAAAAAAAACAATAAATAAATATTCCTTGAAGTTCATTTATTTCTTCTATCAAATAAATTAAGTTAAGTGTCTGTGATTGGCATATTTGAAGAGAATTGCAAAACCCGATGTGTGTGTTAGTTTAATAAATGTATGCTAAAAACATATCAGAAAATATATCTGCTGTATTATGCGTTCCTATTGAATTATTGAAATAAATATTGAATATCTTCACTAACATATAAGAACAATTAAAACTGCTTGTTGAACGAAAGGACGATGATCTAAAATATGCACCGCCAATGTTAAAGTATAAATGAAACACTCGAAGAAATATGGTATTCATTAACCGTTTTTTCGGCTTCTAAAGAAAAACTAATCGTTCACTTTGGCAGGTTAAGTTATCTCAATGAATTACAACAACAGACCGATGAATAATTTAGCTCAAAAAATAATCTCAACATTTTCATTGATTTTCAATCTTCTGTTTTTCCACGTAGTGATGATTAGTATCTTATGTTGCACATTTTTGTTTGTTTCAACTCAACGAGACCGTCTATTTTTATTAGACGACTTATTTAGCATTCGTTTTGAAAACATGTCATTGAAAATTCAATGAATAAATAAAGAGAATTATGGTCAGTATCATGTTAGTACTGTTATTAATTTATAGTATTGGTTCAAACTTCTTTTTTTCCATAAAAATAAATCTTTAGTTAATTATTGAACGAGCTTTTCCAGCTTAAATTGATCCAAATTGGCTGTTTTCCTTTGGCCAATTAAATATTTTTCTAAGAACATGCTTTTATGGTATCGCATTCCTTCTCTCATATTCTGATTTAAAATATAAGAAGTTCAACTGCACGCAGAAAAGTTCAAGGAACATTTTTTTGTGTTGAAAAATCTTTAAAAGACTGGCATTGCAAGATAACCCGAAAGTAAGGTAACAGGTACTTTAATATATTCTAGGAAGCTTGAAGCTATGTTTTCTGCGTACTTCTAGAAAGCGAAAAACATGCTAGATAGTTTCTGCAATATCATGCTAATCTAAGTTCTATAAATCATGTGTGCCAGAAGCCATGCATTTTTTTATTAAATTTTTATTAAAATTGAGGTATAGAGCCTTGCTTTTCTGTTCTATATCGAGGACATTAGAGTCATCATAGCATATATATTATATACTGCTAATATGTTTTCTAAAGTTTGATCATCGATATTCTAGTGTTTATTCAATGACTTGTAGTTAAAAGGAAAAACGCAATTCTTTATCTACGCAATTACTGGAAAAAGAAAATAGGGAAAGTCGTTTCATGTAGAAAGTTTTATTTTCAAAAACATCAACGGAAAAATCAAATCATAAGTCTGAATTTGATATCTATCGAAAGATTTTTTATAAGCAATATCCGTTAGCCTGTTTCTTCTTTCAATAGGATATTGATCTTGACATCACAGTATCGAATGTTGTTCTCTTCAAACGTTTTGCGGAACCGTATATAGATTCGTTTTGGCTCTTCGTCGCTTCTATAGAATTGCTACGAATCAATGATTTAATATTTCTGAACACACATATAAGTTGTGATTGTTTTTTAAAGCCAATAAAATACTTCCGTTCAATTTTCTCTCTCAGCAGCACTCATTTCATAATCATATGTTTCTTTGATGATGTACGTCGCAAAAAAGTACAGAGAATTGTTCTTGTTGCCACTAATGATAGAGAAAAGGTTTCATCGATCTACATAGGATCAATCAAATTGCAACCGCCACTAATAAACTTCTATAGTGAGAAACACAAAGGAAGAGATTTAGAATTCGCAAACTCTCAAAATCCCTTTCGATGACATGTTATATCTGTTGTTTTTTTCATATAAGGTGTTGCGATTTATTTATACTTTTCGCTCTCACTAAAAATTTAAGTAGCTTACCCTAGATGAAATAAAACGTCTACATGTCTTCGACTAATGAACTATTATTCAATCAGTGAAAGTCGGGATATGTTCTGGCTATTGGATTTTCACTATTTTGATTAAAAAAATGTCCAACCGACCCCTCAAAGTAAATTATATTTAAATTGAGATTTGAATGAAGAAAGTCAGAAAAAAATTCTTGCGCAAGTATTTTTCTTACAAAATTTAAATCCAAGGCTTTGGAGATATTAGTGTCACTTCTCTTTAAAAAGCATGTTCTGAGTATAAACATGCATTTGAAACGCTTGTAAACACTATCAAATAGTAATTTCTCAAACGCTTTGTTTTTATGTCATCGATTTGCAACTTACGATTGTTAGGAATAAAGAACGTTATGAAATAAAAACCTATCGTAATTATATTTCCAGAATGTTTCCAATAGAACAAACAGCGGACGTTATTATATAAAAAGAAACAGCATACGATGGGCAAGCTAAAATAAATCTTTGATATGATAAAAGTTATAAATCCAAACGTAAAAGCAAACATCTTAAAATAAAGTATTTCACTTTAAACGCAAATTCTATTACGTAAAGATCATCGTGATGAAATCTGGCACGGCCAGTCTGTCTCGTGTTAGTAATACAATGCATGTTGGTGGAATATTAAAATGTCACTTGCGCTCCACTAGCGACATTTCAAACAAACGTAGTAATTCATCAAGTGTAATTGAAGTTGTTTGTCTAGAAAATTTGAAGAAAACGTCGTGGACTTTCTTTCATGGAAGAAAAACCGATTGCTTTCTATGATACTTCTATATAATAAAACAAAAGAAAGAAAAGAAATGGAAACTTTCTGCTACAGCCGTTCTACTAAGATACTCAATAAAATTAAAATATTCAAAAGGATGATTTCGCCTCCACACGTAAATTAATTATTCGCAGATAATTGTGAAAGCTGACAGCAATTTCTGTTTTTGTTGATGTGTTGGCAAAGTAGATCTTGCTATTTTTACAGTATTTTCCAATTATGAATGTCACGAAAATAATTTAGAGACAAAAATGATTATTCAATAGTAAATAAAAAAACATAGTGCGAACGACGCATAAGATCAGATTGCAAGTGCAGACACTCTTATTAATGAGATTCTTCGTTACCCTATGCCAATTTTCATAAAAGTCATTTGACTAAGTTTCATATTTTGCTTTTATATTCTAGTTATTAGTTGCGATGTTGGCAAGTGTAAACACGTGCGGAATATAAAACTTTTGTTTGACTATCTCAGGTTGTCAGAAAAATAAATCAAACGAAAATTCACGTGGACTAGTTAATCAAATATTCTTCCAAAACGCTGCTCATCATTACAGCAGAACTGTAAGAGGCTAATCAAGAACTTGATATTATTTTGTTTCATTCATTAGACTTTTTAGAGATGTTTGTAGACTGAAAAAATTCATAAGATTTTCAAATGAATTAGTAAATGAGTGCCTCGTAACGAAATAGATTTAGACAACGTATGATAATGTCTGAGAAGAAAAACCGAGTAGAGTATCATAAATTGTACCTGGCTGCACCGGTAGAAAAAATGTTAAACTTTAATTCAAGATTGTAATTAGTTCGTCAAAGATATTTATGGAATCTCTAGAGCGTAATTTTTTACTTACTATCCAGTAACACGATCTAAGTAGAATAGTCTCTGTATCCACCACTCAGTCGAGTCATGTCGGTAGAAACCAGTCACACGACTCTCCAACAGACAGAGACAGGCCATTTTGAAAACTTCCTATTATCAACATTCAGGCCATCGTACTGTTATTATTTTGTTTGATTCATTTGATATTGTACTGATTCTTCTTTCCATATGAATTGGACACTTCCGAAAAAATGATTTAGCCTACTGTTGCCTGCAGAACGAGGACACCTTACAGACAGACATGTTGACTATGATTAGACAGATGATCTTTTAATCGTTGCCGTAAACCATAGACGTAGAAAATCATGCAACTATGCTTTTTATTGTATATCATAGGTATGTTATAGACGTATCTATTTTTTGCACCACACTTACTCATATGATATATCATACAAATTACGTTGCAAAGTTATTCCTTTTCATTTATTCTACTCTCTGATTACTGCATATATAATGATGTTTAATAGACAGCTACTTTCAATTCATCCTTTTTAATTGTTTAGTTACATTCTCAAAGCGAGGTTTTCACGACCCGAGACATAATTATTGTCTATCTCTCTCGGCTAAAAATAAGGTGAACACACCGCTTTATATTTATCGTTCTCTCAGCGAACAGAACAGAGGAAAAAAAACGTATGCTATATAATCTGATGTTAATCATCATCATGGTCATTGATTAAGTTTGAGTTACCAGTGTATAAACAGTTGACATTGCTATCTTTAATATCGTCTTGACACACTCTGCCCACATATTTTCTGGTCTTCATGCTATATAAATTCGGTCAGTCTATTTAAATAAACAGTATTCTATTCAAACAAACTCATATAACAAGCCTTGCTGGGAAAATAAATCGTATTTATATCAAAGTATTATTTCATAAGTATGCTTTCACATCAATCGACTTCAATGATACCACATAATTGTTCGGATGATTTATTCAAAAAAATTAAACTGAAAAATTATCATGCAAATCAGCACGTCTATGAATTCAATGATTCAATGGAACTAGATAGTGGTGATGAATCCACGTGTGAATCTTCGCCAATCGAAATTGAAGAAGATCCAGCTTTTGAAAATTACTATAGTAAGAAACAAGCACCAGCAGTCAATTTGATGTCAAATTCATTGTTAATAACACCAAATATTGATGATCTTCAACATAAAGAAAAAGAACTTGTAAAAACACTTTGTAAATCTGATCCACTGGTAAGATAAATAGGATGGAATGATTTTTTTTCATTTTTTCATCATTGCCTTCTTCCAGTTTGAACAAGATCAATCATCCAGTGAAAATTGTACAAAATCTATGGGCTGCCAAAAGAAACCAACTGTACCATGTGAAGTTTGTAATGATGGAGCAACAGGAGTTCATTATGGTTTAACCACATGTGAAGGATGTAAAGGTATTTACAGATATTCAGACTTAAAGATTCACGTTGTTTCTTAAAAAATAAATATCATTATCAGGATTTTTCAAACGAACAGTTCAAAACAAAAAAATATATCGTTGTATTGGAAACGGTTCGTGTCAAATCGATAAACTTCGACGTAAACGCTGTCAATATTGTCGTTTTACCAAATGTTTATCGAAAGGCATGGTTATTGGAGCAGTTCGTTTTGATGGAACATCTGGCGGACGAACACCAGCTAATATTGCTGCGCTCTATAAAGTAATTATCTATTTTTTTTTTGAAAAAATTAAACAAAAAATAAAATTCGTTTTATTTATTTAGTATAATAAAGAAAAACAGGATTCTCAAACTCGAGAAGACTTTGCTAATATACTTGAAGATATGATTATATCAGACGCTGAACTCAAAGCCAATATAGAAAATCAATTAAATCAATCGTTAGCTATGAATTCAAATGTACATGTAACACATCATTTTGATCAATTATCCATTTTGGATACCTTATATAATCATTTAAAACCATTAATTCATATTCAAACTCGATTACCAGATGAATTAATCAAACAAACTTCGCGTTTATTAATCGATTCATTTATATCATGGTATCGGTCATTGTCATTTTATCCATTATTGCAAAAAGACTTAAATCAATTCATATTAAATACTCGATGGTCAAAATATATTCTTTTAGTTACATGTCAATTTCTATCAACACTATATAATCATACGACTCTACTAACGTATGAGAAGTGTTTACAGCGTGTAGTCGAATATCAACAAGGACAATTGAATTCACCAAAAGCCTATGAAATTGTAGAAAGACTATTGCATTTTGTATTACATTTAATTCATTTACGTTTAACAAATACTGAATTTACGCTACTAAGCATATTGGTTGTTACTCAATACGGTAAAAATAGAATAAAGATTTATTACGAATTTTTTCGATGTAAAATTTCGTCTATTTCTATTTTAGATGAATCAAATTCGACAATCAATCAAAAAGACTTGATTCCACTCGAACAAATTTATTTGAAAAATTTGAAAAAATATGAAAACGATGTATTTGGATGCAAAGAATCATTCCGATTAGATCAAATATTACATACGCGTGAAAAAGTCAATTGTTTAGCAGCGTTACTTTTGAAAGAAAAGTACTTCTTTTTACCATACTTATTGATTCCGTATTAATTGATTTTCCTATTTTTTGTTCTGATTACTGTTCTTTTTTTTTTCGTTTGTAAAAATGTTATTTGAAATAGCAACCTGAGTTCAATTAGTATATATATATGTCGCAGTAGAAATTAAAATTCAGTAGAATTTAAAATTCTACTAGTAGAAATTGAAATTCTACTGAATTTTACCTATAGTAGAAACTAAAATTTCAATTTCTACTAGTAGGATTTTAAATTCTACTGAATTTTAATTTCCACTACAACATATATATATATGTGTGCGCGAGTTTTATTTTGGAGCACTTTTAAAATATAACAATAGCCGTGAACCCCGAAGTAGATCGACTATTTCACTGAGAAAGTTTATGATTGTTGTATCACGCTCTTGACGATGTGATGGGAAAACAAGAGCCAGTGTAATACGAGCATCAATATTTTGAAGAAAGAATGTTTTCAATTGATTCTAGAATAAAAAAAAAACATATTTAGTTGTAAGCTCAAATGATTTGATTAATGAAGTTTATTTTGTTATTTGACACAGGACGGCGTCTTTCTCGTTAAAATATTCGTTATTAATCATCGACTACACTTGATAAAAAATACATAAATGTATCAAGATGAATAAACGCAGATAGAAATGACCCAACGTATGTCGAATGATATCAATCAATTATTGAAGTGACACGACTTAATTCAAATAGCATTTTGCCATAGGACCAATAAGAACGCTTTTCATTAGTACGATAATATTATTTTGTTGTATTTATATATATTAGTCCATGGAAAAGGGTTTAAATATAATAATAATAGTTATATTTACACAGGAAACTAATTTTATTCATCGGAGAATCATGAAAAATCACATGTAATTATACTCATAATATTCATTTCGCTATGAAAATAACTTATAAATCCTTATCTCACAGAAACGTGCCACATCCGAAACTGGTATAATTTTATTGTTTAACTATTTTTATGTCAGCCTTTAGCAAACTTCGGTATTTACAATAAATTTAATATATGCTGTCTTGCCTTTATCAGAAACAAGGATTCCGCCCCAGCACTTAATCATTATTATCATTTAATTTAAAAATAAAAAGAAAGTACTTACTGTATCACCATTGTAGAAGATTTTTTCACCATTTGCCAACATTTCATCGTTAATATCAGTTTTCGTGATGATTTGTTGTGTGACTTCATCTGTCTATAAAATGAGAGGATTTTGATTTTTCTTCCAAATCAATTATCTTTCAAAGCATCACATACTGGATTGGGCTTATTTGGATAGCCAAATATAATTTGAAATGGCCTGTTTTCATTGGTAGATATCGAAGGTTGTATTAAATGGTAATCAGCTAGACGAAAAATAAATGTACTCAAAAGATGAATTACACTAATTTGCTGCCTCTACCTAATTGGTCCATTTGACTAGAGTATATTTGTTGTTTATTTGTATGCAGAACAAGCGTAATCCATTCGGCATTTGAACGTCGATAGAATTGTGCTATACGTGTAGAAAGTTCAAGATTTGTTTTTGCCATTGGTGCCTTAGCATCGGTTCCACCATAATCCAATAGAATATCAGTAAAATAAAGAGTAAACTTTAAAATATAAAAATAAATTTTTTTTTTCATAAGAAAAATTACAAAATTACTTTTGCGACTAGTAACTCATGGAATTTTGAAAAAAATGTAAATAATGCTGGTTTGGTGGGCGTTTTAAAAAAATTCAATGCACTTGTACTTGATAAACTGAAACGATTATTTGCATTTTGTTGATTTTCAATATTATCGTTCCATTCTTTCAATACGCAAAACATATTATGCAATGTTGATATACTACTCATATATTGATAATCAGCAATGAATGTGTACGATTGAATTAATAATAGTAAACAATCAATTTCATATCTAAAATTATTAAAATGAATTTTTCTTTTCTTCTGTTAATTTACATTTGATTTACTTCAATAGTCGTAGAATCGGAGACAATACTGAGATACTTAACGAAGACATATCAGTTTGAGAGATCAGTGTTATTTCATCAAGATAATTTTCTAAACGAACGTTATGTTCATTGCGTTTGGCAGCATTGGAAATTTGTTCATATCTATAGTTTTATATATCCAATAAAATGAAATTATTACATTTCATAGAAATACCAAAATCCTACAGTACAATTTCATTAGATTTGTTCGAATACTAAGAAATGTAATAAGTCCAGCTGTTAGTTGTTGCATATAACTTGTTTCTTTTGCATCATCTGCTGTTGATGGCTGTGTATTATTCTGTTTATTATTTGGCTAAAAATTTCAAAATAAAACTATTCAAGTATTTAAAAAACACTTTACCTGCCCTTCAAATAACGACATATGAAGATCGGAATAACATTGAAGTAACGATTTCTATTGTCAAGGAAAAATTATATTGAAAGAAAACTTTCAAGCAAAATTGTCTACATACATCTTTTCTAAAACTACTCATATTTCCTTTTGGGCCAACAACAAAACCAAAATTATGATAGGATCGCTCGAATTGTATTAACATATAAAAGTGCTGAAGAAACTCATTTTGCATTTTACTACCATCTTTTTCCTAGAATAGATAGAAATTGAGATCAAATAGATTAAATTTCTTTCACATACTAATAGTTCTTTCGCTTTATCAAATGATAAGACAGCTAGATAACTGAAGTATCGTTCATGTAAATTATCCCATCTAGTCATTATTAGCTAAAAGTAAAAAACTAGGAAAATGAACTTGAAAAAAGAAGATCTCTTCTTATCATCATCATCATCGGTCTTTTATTGTAGAAACCAAAAACAAAAAAAATTATCACAACTTTTTTGATCCATATAAATGACGAATTGAATCATTATGGCCTTCACGATTGCGTGCAATTTCAATCGCATAAAATTGTATTCGTACGACTAAAATACAACGTTTTTCCGATTATTAGTTTTGAATCAAAAATGTAAATAAATATTTACCTAGCAATGTGTTTTCATTATTGTATTCACCTTTGGAATCCGTGCGTATAAGTGTACCGTAATTATAATCTTCGATTAGATCGCGGAATTCTTCACATAACGGTCTCCATAGCTGGAAAATACATATTCGAAAAGTTTATGGTTGGGCTTCAAATTACTTCTTTTCCTTCCTTTGACTTGAGTTTATTTTCGTCGAGAAGATCGACTTTAAAATCAGGAAATGTTTCACGAAAACGAGAATAAATGGTATCATCATGGCGAGATAAACGTAATTGTTTTGCATCAATTGCACAAAGTAACTAAATAAGCAGCGAAACAAATATTTTTATACAGAAACCAATTTTTCCTTTTTTTTATTTTTGTTTACATTAAAATACGTTTCGGCATGTTGAAATGCTTTCATTGCCCATTGTTGTTCGAGCAAAGGCTATGATATAGGGGGGGAAAAAAGAATTATTTGATATGAAATTTTTGTTACAGCATATCTTACATCGTTTGCATAATCTTCAGCTGATGTTGATGGAAGAGAAACATTTGATCCTTGATTATTATCCAAATTCTAAATAACTAAAAATATGTAGGAACTATTCTCATTAAAGAAAAGATTCGCAGCAGTTTTCTTTCTATAATAAGAATCTTCTCGTTTCAACAAAACTCTATTTGAATAAAAAAAAAAAAACTTGACTTAAAACAATTTATCATACCAAATCATGTAAATTTGACGTATTCTCCATTGAAGAAAATATCTACAGTAACGGAACAAAATTGTTACAATATTTAATCATTCTCTGACTAAAATAAATTGGTATAAAAACGCTTTAAACCAATATAGATAATATTTATTAAGATCTTCTATCTTCAAATAACATAAATAAGCTTCACTTGACAAAAACAAGGTAAAAGAAAACAATATCAAATGTGTACACACACACGCGCACAAACACAACAAAAATGAGTAAAACAACAAATATTCTAGATAAATATCTACTCTTCTCTTATTGTTTAAGACGAATAACATGAAGTGTTTAAAATAAGTAATACATCGAGAGAGCAAAACAAAAGGGACGACCAGTATAATTCTCAATTGAATCTACCATTCTTTCTTTCTTGCATCCAATGAAACGCCACCTGGACCAAGAGCAACAACATATAGAAGACCACCGATAACCGACATCGTTTGAAAGAAATCGTACTTCAAAAAATCATGTAAAGCACGATGATTTGGCACAAGCCAAAAGCAATTCAAATAAAAATTAACACTTGTTAAATACACAACAAGAAATAACGCTGATAATTTTGTTTTAAAACCAACAGCAACAAATAACATACATATACCACCAATAAAATTTTGTATTATTGACATAAATGTTAATTCATAACGAACAATAGTTAAAAACATAATAACTAATAACATACGACCAGCTAATTGCATGTAATTTTTTGGTGCATTATTATGAATTGTTGGTACACCAGCAAATAGACTACGTGCTTCTTTTCGATTTTCGACCATTAGCAATATTAAACCACCGACCAATGAACATGATCTAAGAAAATTAGTATACGAGTTTATTTTTTGTCTTATTGAGTAGCAGCAATTTTAATTTTTAGCAAAAATTCTCCTGATATGATTTTGTTTTCTTCGACTCTCACGTTATTAGATACGAACTATGAGGTTATTGACCATTCAACTGAAAAAATGAAAATTATTTTATTGATAAATTCATTACCTAAGTAAAAATCGAAGTTCCCAGATAATTTGGTATGCAATAGCCTATACAGAACGAAGAAAAAAAGTAAATCATAAAAGTTATACAATTGAATATTTAGTATTTACATATAAATATACACAGAGATTATTAATTTGCATTTAAATTAATTTCTTCTATTTAAATAAACCAAGCTTAGAAATATCTTATCGTGATACCAATATTTCTTCATAATGATGCTTTACTAGAGATGTACATTTCTATTTTATTCATCACAACTCTAGGGTTTACTCCAACACTGGAATGTGTCACTACACAAAAAAGTTATATTTTTTATAGGAGTGATGTATTATTCTTTAAAATCATTATTGGTTAATTTTCATCATTAGCAGGGTATAAATATCTCCAAGCTAGTCATATACAACTGAATATCTCATGAAGAAAAAGAAAAATACTCTGACAGAATGTGACTCTAATTCAGCGATACAATCTGTTTCACGCAACTAATATTAGCTATATTTTTGAATAGATGACCAGTCTATCATTAAATTTTAGTACTTCACGTAGACACAGATTATCCCCAAGCATAAGTATACAACTTAATGAATATGTTTTCGAACGGATAATGTATAACAAACAACAATTACTGGCATGCACATCGGCATATTATGACTCATTATAATATCACCGCTTTAATACAGAATATGTATCGAACCAAGCGACATTCTTGTTCCTAAGAGCTTATCCAAAATCTTGTAACAAGAGAATTTGATATATGTGTTCAAGAAACAATATTTAAAAATTATATTTACTAAATTCGTCATCGAATGTTGCTCCACTATCGATAAATCTCTTATCTATAAATCTGTCTTGAGTTTTAGAGTATTAACTAGTTTATCAACGAGTAGACAATTAAATCTCTCAATAGAATAAATCCAAGATAAAAAGATTATAAGCAGAGCAAAGCTTATTTCATACAAAGATTTAGCTTGATCGACACTTTGGCAATAGTGAAGACATTCTATTTTTTTTTACCTCAGTTGACTCATACATAGCAAAACCTTTTTGATTGATGTCAAACAGAATAAAAACAGTAGTTAGTTTTTGTTTCATGAAGCAGTCACTTTTAGCAGTTATATCAAGCCTCTATTTGGTTTCTTTGATACTATTATCTATCAAAGATTTTTCTTTCGCACAAATCTAATAGATCTTCATAATCGATAAATGAAAAAGAAAACTTACTTGAAAGCCAATAATAAAAACTAACACTCCACAAGCAATATCAGTTTTCTTTCTTGTCAAAATCATTGCACACGGTACGAGTTGTCCAAGTAGATTAATGATAACGAAAAGAGTTCCAATAGCCCATCCAGCACTCCAACTTTTCATAATGTATTCTCTCTGTTCAGTCCATTGCATCCACATACGAATGCCATCTTCAAGAAATGTTGCTACTAAACAAAATCTTGCAACATGTGGTAAAAAATGTTTAGTATGATGAAGAAACTATTAGTAGAAAAATAAAAACAATTCAATATCTTGAATGACGAAAATTGTATCTATACAGTGTCGGCATAGTCTTCAGCACGGCTGAACCATTCTTTACGCTGTTTCGGTGTAACCAAATTCATTATTTGTTGAGTATTGATATGAATGAACAAGATGATAGTTGACTGTTTTTTCTTTTATTACGATTCTATACTAAATATATGCAAGAGTTAATTGTAAAGCAGAGAGTCTCTGCTAACGTGGTCCTATGCGTAGGCCTCTAATTCTGATTGGTTAATAACTGCCATTGTTGATACTTCATTGGAGATCAAATTTTCAGTAAAAAGAAAGCATTTTTGAATTAAATAGAATTTGTTTTAAATGTGGAGATAAAAATAATACTTTAGATTCATCGATAACATTCCGACTGAATATTATGATAGAGGGCACTATATACATAGCAATCCATAGTTTTCGATTGAAAGGTGTGGAACGGGTAAAAATTCGGTTGAAAAACGAAATTGTAAAACCAACTTTATTTTGCTACCATTAATGTGATTCATATCGATTTGATGGTGATTTTACAACTTAAACGACCATTTCTCTCTTATACAATCATTTAAAGGTTTTATAAATTGCTACTTTACTAACTGTTTCAGCAACGTATTTAAATTCAACGATCGGATTTATCACCAGACATAATCTTCATAAGGCGTGCATTCAAAGTTAATAACAAGCGTTCAATATTCCAGATGAACCTATTAGTAAATTGTTAAACTAAATTTAAATCAATAGAATATCTGTCTGTGGGAATAAAAAAGGAGTGTTTCAATAAGACTTCAAGTTTAATGCAAGCTAAAAACGACCAAAGCTCATTGGATTTTGATTCCGTGATTATTTCAAGAAATCTCTACTGTTGATATTCTGTGATATCAGTTACTTACTACAATATTCTACTAACAGGAAATATGGCGAATGGATAACTCCAATTTTCTTCGTTTGCTTCTAGTGTTTATAATGATACTGTAAGAAAAAGCTGAAGAATTTACAATATGAATTTAAATTCACATGAATATTAGAAATCGATTGATAATGTCATTTACAATCGAGAATTTCATTTCTAATACAAATTGACTCAATAGAATAGCGTTTTTTCTTAATTATGAGTAGGATGGTAATGATCGTAAAAGTAAAATTGCGTGTACGTAGTTGTGAAAGTTAACGATCGAAATAGCCATTGCTATTCAAAAATGATAAGTTGGTGAAAGAATAAGTGGGATCACTAAAATAATCTTATTGAATCAAATGTGATGGCAATAGGACTATCGAGTTCGATTTTTTTCTCGACATCGATACGACATGTATACCATTATGAATAAACAAATTGTTCAGAGGTTATCTATGCTAAGGTTTTTGTTCGATATTTGAAGAATTTTTTGCAATTGAATTTTAGCTTTTCTACAGTTAATTTCAGATTTTTAAAATGGGCGACAATCGCTTCACATTTTCCGTGCAGCGTTTGCCGGCCGGGCCTTCGTATGCTGAATCATATCAAGATCAAGCATCGTATGAATTGATCATTGTGAATATACTAAATATATAAAAAAAACGTTTTTTTCACTTTCATCAGATCTCGTTCAAATTCTCGTATTAGTGGTCAAATAAAACGTATTGGACCAGATATAATTGAAGATTTATTACGTGGAAAAAAGAATCCTGTACAATGTCTTAATGAATATTGTTCGATGACAAAGAAAACGATTGTATATTCAGAAACAGGTTCAGGATATCGATATGCAAATTATGCAACAATTGATGATGTACAATTTCCTCAAGTAAAACCCGTTAAATTTATTTATGATCAATATTTAATGAAACTTTAATTTATATGTCTAGGGTACAGGTCGAAGTAAGAAAGAAGCAAAAATAGCTGGTGCACGACGAGCATTTGCCGCTTTACTTGACCTTGACGAAGAAGCGTTTGATACAAAATTCGCCGGTACATACATAAACAACGTTTGTTTACTTTGAGTATTCTCATAAATGTTGACTGTTTAAAATAGTCCTTGAATTAATGCTTTGCATTTGAGCACTTGAGAGTAATATCATAAATTTGAAAGTATTGTCGCAAAAGATTCGTTTTCAGGTTTGAATTTACTCTTACGAAAATTAAGATAGGCCTTATCTCATAATGAGTGCATATATCCAATAATTAAATTCCATGGTTTAACTTTTTATTACTTGAGATTTCCTTACAATAGAGTTGAACAGCTGATATAATTAAAGATTTCCCGCCAAAAGCAATGCAGTCATATACTTGCAGTTATAACTTGGGTTGTGCTGCTCATTTTTGTCACTATCGAACGATAGAGCTTTAATCATCATTAAAAATAAACGAATTTAGTTTATTGCGGATTTTTATAGTAAAGAAAAAAGATTTTGTAATATTATGCGACATCACTTTATTCAGGATGTTGTTAGGTTCATTGCTGTTTTTTTTTCTGTCTCTAGGAATGTCGGATGTTAAAATTGATCGGCATGGTCATAAAATTGTCGAGAATGGTTCAAATAATCCTGAACATCTATATACAACAGCTAATATTGAAGAATTGACACAAAAATTAAATTTACTAGCAACGTAAAAGAGGCTTTTTTTCTTTTCCTTGTCATGTAAAAACGATTCTTTCTCTCTCATCTAGTGATCTAGAAGTTTTAAAATCCAAAGGTGTCGCAAATGCTTTGCAACGTGTTAATACTGAACGTGCACTATCGCGTGCATCTACTATCAACAATCCACATCATCTTGTTAATAACAATAATAATGAATTACCCGTGGCAATGTATGGTAGAGAATCAGTTCTATCTGGCCGGCCACCATCATCAATGAATCAATATTTAACAAGTACACCTATTAGTACCATAGGTGGCACATCCGGATTAACATCACAAATTGAAAATCCTATTACAAATTTGCAAGCCTATTGCAAAGCAAATATGTTACCTATTGATATTAAGGCTGAATTATGTGAGCCCGATTCAAAGAATCCTGATCAACGAAAACTGTAATATTACTTTTCTTGCCTTATTTAAATATTCATTCACTGATATATATATATATAGATATCGATCGTGGGTTATTTTGGGTAATGATGAAACAAAAATATCAGATGTTTATGCGTATACAGTAGTTGACGCCAGACGACGAGCAGCACAACGTGCTTTAGAAGCACTGATGAAAAAGCAACCATCACATGTAAATAAAGAAACTTCAAGGGATATGACATGTTTTTCTTTGATATGATCTATAGATAATTACAAGTAAACCAATGGTTGCATTAACTGAATATGAAGAAATTTCAAATACAGTAGCAGATTTTATAAAACATAATCGAGCAAATGATCATTCGGCTGTGTTTGATACAATTCATAATAGATTTTATGCAGCGTTTGTTGTTAAACGCAGTAAGTTTTCAAAACTAGAGGAGATTTTCATAGAAACCATCTTATTTAATAGATAATTGATTTTCGTTTTGTTGCTATGTATTTTAGCTCAACGTGATGTTGGTCGTGTCGTAGCATTTGGTATGGGTAGCCGATGTCCAGACCCAGAAAATGTCAGTGAAATGGGTGAATCATTGCTCGATTGTCATGCGTTAGCAGTTGCGCGACGAGCATTTATACAGTAAGTTTGTCTATTGAAGATAAATAAGTATTGTGTTCTTTTGAATGTGAACAGATAGTCCTTTCTCCTTTTCCTATCCTATATTGTTCTTGTTTATGAGACTAGAAACAGTAACGAGGTATCCATATATGAAAAATTCATCCCAAGGAGAATCCGCCTAGTATACAAAAATACTCATCGTTGCCGATTATCAATGAGTTTGCTTATAGGTATCTCTATGGTGAATTGAATAATTATGCAAATGGTAGTGCTATCCGATCAATATTGGAAGCAAGTGAAAAGGACTCAACTAAGACTCAACTGAAAAATCATGTTTCTATTCATTTACTTATTTCTGGTGCGCCTACTGGCGATGGACGAGAGTTTCTACCAGTCGATTGTGATGGTATGTCTATAATAGAGTACTTTTGTTTAAATTATGATTCTCATCTATTTACAAATTAATTCAGGACCAATGGCTCCTTATGATCTTGTGCAAATGAGAGCAGCTGGTCATGCTCCAATATATGAACATCCAGAACATGGTCATTTGAGATATAAATTATCAGTTGGAATGGAAACAATCGATGCTAATCGTATGTTTAAATAATCTATTAAATAGAGGAAATTAACTTTTGTTTTCGCAATGAATTCCTCTAGCTCTTCAACGTTTTGCAATCATGTCATGTAGTGATAAAATTCTCAAATGGAATGTTCTTGGTGTTCAAGGCGCTCTTCTTTCGAATCTCATCGAACCAATTAAACTTGCTTCAATTACATTTTGTATTAATTCTTTTGTTTCATTTTTTACCTTTGAATTTTTATCGTTTCGTAGTAAGTGGTTTCAAACAATCGCATACATCACGTGCTGTTTGTTGTCGATTGGAAAAAGCAACAGATCCTGTACGAGTACATCATCCTATGATAGGTGACATAGTAAAAATCTAATTTTCTATAATCAATCCAATCGTTTTATTTGATAATTAAGGTCGTGTTAAATATCCACTTGCTCAACCGCAAGATTTCGATGCCGATTATAGTTATGTATGGTCAACATCATTCCAAGGTGAAGTCATTGATGCACGATGTGGCCGACCAGTAACGGGGTAATGAAAATAAAAAATGAGAATCGAAGGAAAACGAAACAATCGATTTTCTTTTTCTTTTTCTTTCTTTTCAGTGGTACAAGTCTTATATCAAAAGTTGTGTTTCTCAGTGAATATCGTCATGTATGTCAACGTTTAAAAATTCCATCGGTTACATCAGATACAAGTTATTATAATCTTAAACAAACAGCAAAAGATTATCAACAGAAAAAACGTGCAATGACCAACTATCTTGAACAAAAGAAATTTGGTTATTGGTCTTTTGAAAAGAAGCATCTTGAACAATTTCGATGGCAATCAACAATACCGCCCATACAACGAAATATAACTATGTGATAAATTACTTTAAACTTTTGAGTCTAACTTTTACATTTTG